CCACACCCCCTCCCCGCCAATCCCAATCCCTTCTCCCACCCAGTGCACACGCAGCCCGGCCACCCACCCCCTCATACCCACACACATCAGTATGGCTATGCCTCCGAGTCCACACAGATCCACCACAACGACCACCAGACCACCAACAGGGGCGTCGGCAGCCCCATGAACCATCAGCGATCGGTGCAGCAGCCAACGACCGAGGGGCAGGGGCAGGGGCAGCAGCAGCAGCAGCAGGCGTCGGCAGCAGGGCCCATGAGGGGCGGGAGCCGGCTGATGACACGGGCGCAGAACAGATTCGACCCATTACAGCAGCAACAGCAGCAGCAGCAGCAGCAGGGCAACTCGTTTGTGTCGCGGGATGTGGGCAGATAGAGAGAGATGACCCATGCGGCTGGCTGGCCGGCTGCTATGGGTTGGTTGGTATGTTGTCTAATCTAATGTTTCTTTTGTTTTGTTTTTCTTTCTTTCTGTGTGTGGGGGTTTGAGTGGATGGGTCCGTGTGAGAGAGGGAGGAGGGGAGTGCGTGTGCCTTTGTGATGGTCTACTGACAGGGAGGGGAGGGAGAGGGAGGGAGGGAGGGAAAGAGTGCGCACATTGGTTCTCTTCTCTTTTCGGTTTTTTCCACCTCTCTCTCTCTCTCGCTCTCTCTCGTAAGGCAGCAGCAGCATCGCAACACGAGCCATCTCAGGAAGGCCGCGACACCGGCTAGAAACGACTCGCACGGCGAAATGCCGTCTGTCTGTATGTGCGCTGCATTGGTGATGACAAACAAAACGGGGCATGGACTTTTCGCGCTGCTTCACTTCTGTAAACCGATCCCCTCTGTATGTGTCTGTCTTCTGTTTCTATACACAACAGGAAGAGAGCAGTGCGCCCTGCCCCCATGTATCTGTCTGTCTACCTGTCTGTCTGTCTGTGATAAGCTCTGACACGTCAAGTGGTTGTGCGAGAGAGTGGATGAGTGAGAGGGATGCTTTGGTTGTTTGGGTCCGTGCAGTGGGTGGATTGGTGGGTGGGTATGGGTGGCTTTGATATCAGTCCCTACTCTCTATGTTCTCTCTGTCTCGACTCTCGTCGGTGACCGAGTGTCCACGGCCGGCCGTCATCTCGGCGGTCGCTGCTGATTTCTCCCAGTGGAAGGGAAAGTACTGCCGTCTGGCCGACAGCGGCTGTGTGTCAGTTCCTTCCCGGCCGTGACGAGAAGCCAGCAGCGACGCAAGATGGGCGTCGCCACATCTCTCCGTATGTCACCAGACAGACAGACAGACAGACGGATCTTGCTTTCAATGTCCCTTCCTCCCTCCCTCAGTGCATCATTATGTGTGTGTATGTGTGTCTCGTGTGTACCCCCCTGACGCAACGATGCACTGGGGGCCTAATTACTCTCTCCGCCCGTTCATTCTCGCTATCTATCTCTGAGAGTGCGTGCGGCCGCATGAGTTGATGCTGCCGACCGGCCGACCAAGACGATCTGATCATCGACGGGCATTTTTTCTGCCATGCTGTGTGACTGACTAAACCGACTGATCGGCTTATGGATGGATGGATGGATGGATGGATGCGTGTGGTTACCCACCGATCTTTGTTACCTCTGCCTTGCAATGCTTGTGTGTGATGCTCTCTCTTGAAGCAAGGCAGCTCTTGAGGCATCTGATGTGCTTGTGCGATCGAGGCATGCAGGAGAGCTCTGAAAGCTCAGCTCTCTCTCTGATTGCCCGCCCGACCGCTGTGCCTTCCATGACCGACCGTCAAGTCCATCGCAGACAGGCCCAGGCAGACGAACAGAGAGAGACCGAGATGACAGGCAGACTCGAACGACAGACAAGCCACAGCTGACTGTCTGTGTGTGTGCGTGAAAGACAGACCTGCGAACCTGCAGTGAGTGGCCTTTCAGACTGAACCCTGGCCAGAAGTCCTAGCCAGGGCATCATCTCCTACAAAACTGACAGGTGTGAGCTCTCCTCGTCAGGAGGAGTCTTAAATGCCATCAGCGCACCCCCCACGCCACCATAACGGAGCAGCGGCACGAAGCGGTGTCTAAAGCAACAAACGAAGGGTGTTGCATGGCTGCATGTGTGGGTGCTTGCAAACGGAGTGAACGTCGAGGTTTGTGCGCGCCGATTGACTAACGACACAGACACACAGACAGAACATACAGACGCACAGAGAGACCGACAGACGCTGTGGATGAATCCATATGTGGGTGCCATTCCTAGGAACAACGAGACACTTAACAAGCTTTAGACACACATGTTCGCCCACGCGAGAACGAAGAGACTGTCACGTCCGCCTGTCCCGATTGTCTCACAACACGTGCACACAAAGACACACACACGCACACACACACACACACACACACAGAGAGCGAGAGAGGGAGAGAGAGAGAAGGCAGTGCAAGGATAACACGATGCGATGAACGCGTGTGTCACTCACGCACACATAGCTGCAAATCTGTCTCTGCGTGTCTGGTGTCTCTGCGCGAACGGCATAGACATCTGCGTTCTTTCTCGAGACACAAACGCATTCGTAGACAGCACAGACGATTCACACACACTTGTGCACACACACACACCACCTTCAACAAACATCACGCACTACGTGGAACCCCCTCCTCTCCGCCGTACAGCTGCGTTCCTCTTGAGGCGGCATTGCCTCGTCACAGATCCTCACATGCACACACACGGACACCTTCATGCGCGCCACGTCATGCAGCCGAGAGACAGAGAAGGCAGTTAGGAAGTCTTCAGCTTGAAGGCCAGGTAGGGCTGATGGTGGTTGGGGAGGGGAGTGCAGACGTCGGCGACGCACCCCTCGCGCTTGTACGTCAGAACATCGAACTTGAGCTCCATGTACATAGTCTTAAGTGTCTCCCCATTACCATTTATACCCATTCCCAGTCCAGTCAGCTCCAGCGACGTGATATCTCCCTGACAGGCCACACAGAAGCCATAGACATCGGACAAACAGCCATTTACAGCAAATGGCTTCAACCTCGAGCGCGTGTGCGCACATACTCGATTCTTGATGACTTCTCTCAGTATGCACTCCAGGCAGACCTCGTTCATGAACTCGGTCAAGGAGCTTTGCATGTCTCCATAGATGGCCTCGACTTGCTCCGTGACCATGTCGACCAAGTATTGCAGCGTGAAGGTCCCAGCGCCTCCCAAGATGTCCGCCACGATCGCCGTGATTCCTTCGGCGTACTTTTTCTCATCAATCATTTTACCTACACAGACAGACAGACAGACACGCACACACACACGGAGACACACACGTACACACACACGGACACACACAGAGAGAGAGAGAGAGAGAGACATACAGATATACAACAATGCATCAAGACCATCCTAATATGCTAACTCACCCCATAACACGTCACCACACCCGGTGGAGTAAAATGACTCATCACACCGCGGCTCGTATTCCTCGTTTATCTCGCGCTTCTTTTCGCCTCTGGTTGTGCGAACGACCCCGTCAACGCCGGTAGCATCAGCAATTTCGTTGCGAACCCTCGAGGCGGCCTGACCGGCTGCATCCCTCAGGCCCTCTCCTTGTACATCTCTCGCCACCCGGCTGGCTCCTTGGGCGGCCCCAACAACGTCGCCACGCCGAACAGCGTCGGCGGTCTTCTTGACGGTGTCCACAACCTTCTTGGCCGGGTTCGGAACCTTGACCTTTAGCAGCTTCCGGTGCTCTTCGTCACCCTCGCGACCACCTCGTAGGCCAGACGGCGCCTGATGTGACACGACACACACACTTCAATTGTCGTGCTGCACGACAGAGATGCGTCCAGCCGCCAATGCTTACCGATGACGCAGGCCAGATGGCGATGGCGAGTGCAAGGGTCAGCAGGGCCAGCTTCATCATGACGGCTGTTGTCTTGACTGTTGTGCTGTCGGGACTGAGGCAAGAGAGCAAGGGAAGCAACGAAGGGGAGATGCAGACTCGGAGAAACGGGTGAACTGATGAGATGATGAGGGCAGACAGATGATAGGGCGGCGGAAAGAGACAACTCGAGGGCTCCTCTCGTCTCCTCTCGCGAGGAGAGCTGTCTAACTGTCGGCGGCGAGTTACACGGACCAGATCTACGAGACATGATGCGGATGGACCCAAGCTTTCCATGAGACCTCCGTCGTCACTAAATGCTTCTTCCGGCTTCGTCACATTCCTACTCGCTACCCCGAGCTACTGCTGATACTCCAACTGCAGCCAGTGATTCAGTGGGGTCTCCCCGTTCCTCTCCATGGCGGCGGCGTTCCGCTCATTGCTCGAGTCTCAAAGGGTGAGGGAAGAGAAGGGAGGGAATCTTGGGTATGCTTCGAGCAGCAGCTGCTGCTGTATGTTTGTGTGGATGCAGATCTCTCGCCTCCTCACACCCTGCTGCAGCTCATGACAGCGACGTACCGCTTCATTCAGCCGCTGTGGCCGTCAGTGGTTGTGGCCGTGCGCTCACTGAGTGATTCTTGGTGATGTCTGATTCGGTGCCTGACGAGCTGTGGCTCGGGCGCATTCTGCCGTCCCTTCTCGTCCATGAGGCGGTCTGTGTCCGAGCGACCTGCCGGGTGAAGGCGGCTCTGGTGACGGCCGCTCTGCTGGTGGAGCGCATCGACGGCTCCCTCGCCCGCCACTCCCTCACCGGCCTCATCGACATCGACCGCACCGCCCCTCTCCCATTCAGCTATGTCCTGCGGGCGGCCTATGTGCTGGAGCAGGGCAGCAACGAGTGGCCTGGGATGGGGCGGTTCATCCGGCTGGCCGCCATCTATCGGCTGACGCCTGCCAATGGGCTGCCCCTGGTGCTGTCGGCTCAGTGGCTGACAGCCCACCTTCCCAGCAGGACGGCATTCCACCAGCTGCCCTTGGCGATGGCGATTTATCGGCTGTTCAGCCACCTGCTCACAGACGAAGGGACCAGCCTGGCGCTGCAGCCAGCCGATGACGGGAGCTATTGGATTGGCAATTTGTGGACCTTTCGTGTGGTGCCGTTGGGTGAGCTGCCGGGCGGCCATCCCTACGCTTACGGCTACAAGCGGACCGATCCAGTCATCCGCTCGGACAGATTCCTCTACCTCTCCTTCTCGGCATTCCTGATGCATGCGGTGTTCCTCTGGTGGTCGGATGGAGAGGGGGTGGTGGGTCATAGGAGGGTCCTCGAAGCACACATCGGCCATGGTGACTGTCGGTATGGCCGTCTGCTGACCGACAACATCACAGAGGATCAGGGCATTACTGTCGACTACCGTCGTGACCGGGGCGATCTGAATGCTGCTGATGCGAGGGACGAACGTAATGTGATCGTGAGCGGGTTTCGGCCCAACGAGACCGTCGCTTCCCACCTGTTGGTATGGAATGGCCGTATCGATCTGTTCACGACCGAGCGGCGTACTGCCGATCGGCCTCAGCCTCTCTCCGTCCGCTTCCAGGTGTCGATTGGTGCCGTCCGCCGTCTGCTGCGGCCATTCGGTCTCGAGCGTGACGTCATCGACAGGGGGACGGTGGTGGGGTGAGGGGCTGGCTGGCGATTTGGTGTAGCTGGTTCACGCAATGGGTGAAGAGGGTCTGTCTGCCTGCCTGTCTGCCTGTCTGCCTGACAAGCAGTGGTGGAAGGTGGCTGAGTGCGTTTGGATACTGTGTTTGGATGGGTCATGTGTCCACTTCACATGCTGTGACTGATTGCGTGGCCTCGCTGATAAGGATGAGGTCAATTGACTCATGCTCCTCACTCACTCTGAGTGGGTGAAGCGAAGCGTGTTATCTACGTGTTGGTGCTGCGATGGACTTTGTCAATTATGCCTGAATATGTGATCACATGTCCCCCTCATGAGAATACGAGCAGTCTTCTCCCATACGCTGCCCTTGCCCCTAGTGTACAAGACACGCAGTCAGTCCGGCATTCATCGACAAGCTATGTGCATCGCCGATATGAACAGGCAGAACGGAAAACAGTCGCTCGGTCGGCCGGGAAGACGATACTTGCTGCGGCGAGACCATGGGTCCATCCATCCGCTTCAAGCGGTTACAAACACGGCCTCGTCGCCGGGCAGCTGCTAACCTGGCAGACACACGACAACAAACAACACCGAGCCACATAAACAGCCATCCCTCCCTCCC